GCACTCCAGAAGTGATAATCACATTGTATTTTTCAAAACAGTCCTGTCTAATGCTGTTCATCAAGCCTTTTTCTAGAGGAAACATATTAAACACAGACAAGTCTTATCAGTCCAACCACAGCTATTGCTGGTGTTCAGGACTGGAGGAAGAAGGGAGACTGTTGTGTTAGATGTAGATACACTACTCATCTTGCTAACTGGACATCCTCTTTAAGTGCAGCAATCTAGACAAGGTCATACGGACTCAGGCATTAAGTGGCATTAATTGGCATCTTCTCATCTCTAACTGAAGGATTAATGATATTCAACAATAAAGTTATCTCAGGGCTTATGATGAAATGAAATGACAATGTGACAAGTTTTTACAGTTAAATGTGAGGAGACCAGGTAAAAACAGGAATCGAAACAACATCAATAAGGATTTAAGACTGTTGCCCTCCTAGGGGATTCTGGGTACATTTCAAAAATCAAACCTGGGAGGTTAGGCAAAGATTTGGATTCCTAAGTAGCGTAACTCATCCTGGATGATTTATCAGGTGATATAAATCTGGTATTAGTGAACAGTTGAATGAAATTCCATGAAGTTTCATTTGGGATAATTCATTTTAGAAATTTCTCTGTGACATTTATGTCTTAGCTATGCTGAATAGTGAAAGGAAATCTATTGGATATCTGCAAGTGAAAATGAGGAAAGGCTTCGATCATTTGCGTGGTGGGCTGGAAGCTGAAGTGGTTTATCATGGTTGACACGTATGACAAATACTTGGGATTGGAGTATGTCTGTGTATAGATGTGATACGCTGTTTCTCTGACACACACTATCATAATGACAACAACATTACGTGGACTGATGAGAGACTAAAACTGAATGTAGCAACTCCCCACCTGCATCCCTCCTCAAATTTGTGGCTGAGATGCCAACTACCAAACTTGTTGTCCCTATGCTGTCCTGGCTCAGTGCCCTAAAGATTTTCCTATAATGTGTTGTTCAGAGCTTCAGCCACTATGCCGTACCCACTCTGATTTCTGTGTCATGCCCTGCACAATTCAAAACCCTTATTGCCTCTTTCCCACTACAGCATGCTGCATGAAGCTTCAGTCAGCTGACAGATGTTGAGTTCACTTCATATATATTCTTGGATGCTCTCCACTAATGAGCGTAAGGGTCTTACGTCCTGCATTTGACAGTGATGCCCAACAATTAGTTAGATAAAAGCACAATACTGTGTGTAACAATCAAACCCATTATAATCCAATCACATTCAATCTGTCCAGTTCATTGTCAGCAGCCTATCTCTTAACCCTGTGTAGCTTTAACGCAAAACCTGTAAATCTAATCAGTCCTAAAACCTTTCCCAATATCTTAAAATGTGACATCTATAATTTCATAAAAAGGATAAAATAGGTCATACTTAAAATTTATGTAGAACACAGGAATTCCTTATGAGGTAGATGGAGACCTTATGAGGTAGATATGAGTCTTCAGAGACCAGACAGCAAATACAGCCAACTGAGGGACTGAAAGTGCTCTCATTCTGTCCTTCATCATATCTTGTGTGATACATAAAACAGAATGTTCAAGACACCTTGCCTCAGTGTTGAGCACCATGGCCTTACAGTGCCAGGGACCTAGGTTTGATTCCATTCTCAGATGACTGTCTGTGTGGAGTTTGTACATTCTCCCCGTGTCTATGTGGGTTTCCTTGAGGTGTTCCAGTTTCTTTCCATGGCTTAAAGATGTGCAAGTTTTGGACGAGCCATGCTAAATTGCCCACAATGTCCAGGGATGTGTAGGCTAGGTCAGTTGGCCATGGGAAATGCAGTGTTACAGGGATAGGGTAGGGGAGTGGGTCTGAGTGGGACGCTCTTTGGAGATGAAGTGTGAACTTGATGGGCCGAATGGCCTGCTTCCACATTATGTCACATTATTGATCAAGAAATCAATTATTGGTCGTGGAAAAGGTCAAAGTTGGATAGGATGTAAAGGTTTTGAACTGAGGGGGAATCCAATGTATATTCAATAAAATATCAGTGGGCAACTAATTGTAGGAAAATCTAGAGTAGTCAAAGTCTTTCAGAAAGGAAACAGTGAAAGTGCTGGGCCAACAAGTGCCCATAAATTTTCAAATCAAAGATGATAGAATCCCTACAGTATGGAAACAGACCATTCGGTCCATCAAGTCCACACTAGCCCTCCAAAGGGCATTCCACCCAGACCTAAACTCCTATCCTTTCCCTATAGACCTGCATTTCCCATGGCTAACCCACTAATGCCTATACATCCCTGGACACTATGGGCAACTTAGCATGGCCAATCCACCTAACCTGCACATCTTTGGACTGTAGGAGGAAACCAGAGCACCTGGAGGAAACTCACGCAGGCACAGGAGAATGTGCAAACTCCACACAGACAGTTGCCCAGGGCTGGAATTGAACCCACAGCCCTGGCACTGTAAGACAGCAATACTAACCACTGAGCCACCATGCCATTGAAGACTGGGACAAAAAAATTCCAAAAAAACCCTGAATATTGGAGGATTGTAGAGGATTAATAAAGAAAAAAAGGGATGCTAGTGGTAGATGCACAGAATACCCAGGGTAGATATCCAGGGTGGAGGAGTCAATTAGTAAGGGACACAGATTCAAGGTGCAGGGATGGGTGGTGCAGAATTTGAAAGAGATGTGTGAGGCATGTTTTTTACAGAAAGGGTGGTGACTGCCTGGAACACACTGCCAGAGGTGATGGTGGAAGCAGACACAATAACAGCATTCAAGAAGCACCTGGATGAATACATGAATAGGAAAGAAATAGAGGGATATGGATCCTGTAAGTGAAGACAGTTTTAATATGGAAAGGCAAAACATCTCAGTGCAGGTTTGGAAGACCAAAAGGCCTGTTCCTGTGCTGTTTTGTTCTTATTTCTTATACCTTAGAAAGTGCAGGAGGTTACTTAAAAATATAAATTAGGAAAGCAAAGAGAGAGACCGTGAAAAGACACAGGCGGCCAAAATAAAGGATAATCTAAAAGGTATTTTGTAAGAATAGTAAGGAAAAGAGGATAACTAGGGTCCACTGTATGTGGACCTGAAGACATAGCTGAGATTTTGAATGGGTACTTTGCATCTTCAGAATTAACTCAGCAGGTCTGGCAGCATCTGTGAAGGAAAAAACAGAG